TGGGTCGGTCCCTCAGACCTGGCCAGGGGCAGCCCATCCCCCGGCGGGCGCCCTTCCCCGGGGCAGGCGCTGCCGCGCTGAGCGCCGCCCCCACCCCGCCCGCCGCGCCCGCCCCGCCGCACGTAGGTCTGACGCCGACCCTGCTCAGTTTGCCTGCCAGGGGGACAGACAGACCCCCTGCTCGGGACGCGGAGACAAACGGACGAGGAGTCGCGCGGGGTCAGCGCACAGCGCTACGCGCGGGAGACCTGCGGGGCGGGGCCGCGGTCCCGCCCTCCCCGTGGAGGGCTGGCACGGGTCCCCTACGCCCGAGGAACCCACCCACCACGCGGCGAGCTCGGAGGCGGGGGTCCCAGACACCCGCAGGCTCGGAGCGTGGCTCAGAAGGAGCGCAGGGGGCGGAAGCCCGAGCCCTCGTTGTGGCAATGAGTCGAACCGGGGCGCACTGAGCCTCTCGGATTTCTGTGCCAACCCCGTATTCGGGGCAGGGAAGGGTCTCGGGGAGGTCTCCAGGTCCCCACGAGGGCGGAGCGGGCGCTGGCAGGCCTTAGGCAAGGGGGTGAAGCCGACGGCCCAGGCTCTAATCGGATCAGACCTAATCCGTCCGCAGCCAAAGCTTAGACGTCACACAGCCAGGCCCGCCGGAACGCATCCCGGGGTCAGGGGGCAAAACCTTCTTGGGGCTGTGGCTACCCTGCCTTCCTTCTGGCCTCCTCGGGGCAGCTTGGGGAGCGGCCTGTAATCTCGATTCCTTCCTCCCGCCCAGGATACATCGCCCCCCATGTGTCCCGGGCCACCGAAGTTCAAGTTCTTGGGTAGACCCAAGCAGTCTAGATGGCAGCCTAGGGACACGCGGATGCCAGGCCAGGCGGTATAGTAGCCTGCGAGCCCCGTTCAAAGCTCACTGTGCAGCCCAGGACCACTCACCCCCAGAGCCCTGCTTGGTGGGGAGGCACAGTCTCGGCCTAGTCACCTAGTTTATCCCCCTAAACCGACCGTCTACCTCCTGATCTGTTATTGACTCAAATGATGACACTCGGGATACCCCCGCCCCAAGAGATGGGAGCAATTCTGGTATTTGAGGGACACTCTCATTTCTGTCCCTGGGGAACCGTGTAAGTGACCACGACAGAGGTTCTATCTTCTAATCTCTCTAGTAGGTGTCTCTGGATGGGATTGCCTTGATTCAAAGCCTGTTTCTCTCAACTGGAAGTAATGCTGCAGTCTTGTTTGCTCAGCCTGGTGTTCCCTCCCCTTCAGGTCTGCCTGGCAAACTCCTTAACCAAGAAAGCTCAGTTCTTATCATCACCCCCCCCCCACCACCCCGGGGAAACCCTCTCAGCCTGCTCCCAGCAGTTAGACCCTTACGATCTCATCATCTGTCTACAGTAATTCCCCAATGAACTGCAAGGCACTTGAGTGCACAGCTCCTCTGTCCCCAGTGAACTGCAAGGCACTTGAGTGCACAGCTCCAGGCACAGAGGGAAGCTCCAGAAGGCCTGTAGAAGGCATAAATGAATGAATGGCAACCATCTACTCCCACACCAGAACTGTGGGTCTGGAGCTCCCTGCAAAGAGGCCGACTTCCTGAGGCTCTTTTCATGGCTTCATGCTGCCTCTGGGGATAGTAAATACCAGTTTGAAACACAACCTTCTCTGAGCAGAGGGCCAGGCAAGGCTTTGCACTTGCCTGTTGGCCAGAGAGGCACTAACGCACGCTCCAACCCCATCTCTGCTTCCCTTGTCTGTGGCTTATCTCTGCACGTCTCTTTGTGTTTTTCTGCCGTGTCTCCTTGACTCTTGGGTGATAGTTGTCAAAGTAGAAGATCTTGGTGGACATGCCTACCTCCTTCCTGAGGCTGGTCTAGGTGGGAAGGCCGCCTCACAGATGGGTCCCTTGACGCCTGGGGCATGACAACCACTCCGGTTTTTCACAAGAAAGGTCTGGATGGTGGTCCTTCTCTCATCCCTTTGTTAAAACTCTACCCACTCCAGTCTGTTTTTCCTTTTAATATATTTTGTTAAATATTTAGATATAGTCCTTTAAATTCAATTTCTGAATTAAGAAAAACAAGCATATGGTATAAAATATGAAAGGTCTCCTTCCTTAATGTGTGTTCCTCAACCACCTTCTTCCCTTCCCTGGAGACACATTCTGTTAACACTTTTTTCATTTTGGGATTTTAAATCCACTGTTGCCATTCAGTTCCATTCCGAGCCTCCCTAGCAGATCTCACCAGCAGTTTCAGACCTGAGCACAGAACACTTAGTTGGGCAACACCTTCACAAGATGGATGAGAGCAGCTCATCCAGGCAGTGGAATGTGATGGCAAGAGCAGGATTCTGCATTGGATCTGTGTGACCTTGGGAAGAGTCAGTAAACCCAAGTCTCATATATGTGAAAGACTGTAACCATAGGGTGTCAAATGAATGTAGTATTTTTTCTGGGCACAAGGGCTAGGGTAGGCTAAACAAGAGGAGATATAAAATGTAGGAATTGACGAGTGAAAGAAAGGGAAATTGACCTCTATCTAGAGCTTACATTCATGTCCCCACATTCAAGTCTTGTGCATTTGGGCATCAGGGATGCTTTGTGAGGCAACAGCTTCTGCATGCCTCTGAGGTTCCTATTGGGTTTGGCAACCTGCCTCCAGCACCAATGCAGGCACAAGGCCCATTGCCATGGCTACACCTCACCTCCCTGGCATAGAAAGCCCCTGGCTTCACCAGGGGGCTGCTGTCCAGGGCAGGAGCTGCTCCAGTTGCCATGGCTGGGGGAATATTTCAGTCTGGACAGGAAGCAGCAGGATTCCTGCCTTCAAGTCCTCAGGAGTAACCACTAACATTTTTATGAGCTTTTAGTTTTCCTAGTGCTCTAATTTGTCTTATTCTTCACAACCATACTATGAATATCTTACCAGTCATTTTACACATTTGCAAACTGACACTGAGAATAAGCAACTTTGTCCAAGATCATGCTAACGAAGTGGTAAGGCCAGGACTTGAACTAAGATCCTGATTTCAAATCTTTTCATTTTAATATGGAGGCTCTTCATTCTTGCCTCTTAATTTCAGAAGACGAATCAAGATGCGAGGTAGGGCCTCACTTGGCAGAATGGAAGCCTTGCCTCTCCCCCCAGCACTGCCCCCTTCCACCTGGGCATTTAAGAGTTAATGCTTTACGGGCAGGCCTGGTGGCAAAGTACTTAAGTTCACGTGCTCTGCTTCGGTTTGCAGGTTCAGATCCCGGGCGTGGAGCTACACACCACTCATCAATCCATGCTGTGCTGGCATCCCACATACAAAATAGAGGAAGACTGGCACAGACGTTAGCTCAGGGACAATCTTCCTCAAGCAAAAAGAGGAAGGTTGGCAACAGATGTTAGCTCAGGGCCAATCTTCCTCACCACCAACAAAAAAAGTTAATGCTTTGATCTCCTAATGCACAACACGGCAGTAAGTCCAGATTCATGTCCTAAATCAGAGTCAGAAAGGGACATCTAGTATGGTCTCTCTCCTGCCAGTGTGCTAGGTAGAGACACCCAGTTCTGAGCTGCAGGGCAGTCAGCTGTGACAGGTTTTGGTGATGGGCTGCTGGGACTGGGCCTTCTTGCACCATTACCAGGAAGAAGGGAAAAGCCAAGAGTCAGGGGCCTAAGTTCTTTGTGCTGACCACCACCTCCTTGCTGCAGGGAACTCTGGATTCTCAATTGCACAAGTGCTCTCAACCCAGAAAAGGACATCACAACCTGGAAGTGGTCATCTTGTCCGGGCAATGGGTATGCTACAAGATTGGAAAGACCCCTGAATTTCATTAACCCAAAGCCAAGTCAGATGGGAGAAAGCCACATAGCAGAAGCCAACACATATAGCCTCAGATGTGGAACTAGGCTTGTCTGCAGAAAAAGACCGGCTGCTTCAGCAGGCAACTTCTCTTAAGTGATTCTTGGAAACCCCGTAGCTACTGCAGAATAAGCAGACTGGAACAAGGATGTCACAGTCAATTTGGATGGCCATGGGAAATCCATCAGTGTGAGGGCCAAACTAGCTACAGAAATCAGCTTGTGCAAAGGGATGTATTACCATCAAAGAGCCCTGCCGCTTCCTAACTCCCTCCTGGACCATCTGATAGCAAGGGTACCTCAGGTAGTGGATTGCCACAGAACCA